GTGTGCATGTATGCGTGTGTGTGTGTTTGTACATCAGTGTTTTATTTATTTGGGTAAATAGTGAAGAACATGGATCGATGGATTGTACAGGAGTACAGTTGACTTTCAAAGCATCTACCCATCTCCCAAACTCTCTTCCACAGTGGCTGTACCGTGTTGGCCCCCACAGCACATACGCTAAAACTGGAATGACACAAAGGTTGCTATGGCCCCTGTGCAGACTGGCCATCCCATTCACGTCCCCTCTAGCCCTGAGTGAGACCTTCAGACATTCCCCGACATTTGATGTGGTCAGGTGTTAGATTTTTGATCCTGTCTTTGCCATTTACAAGGGTTTTGTTGTTGTTGTTTTGATGCTTGCGATTGAACCCGAGGCCTTTGTGCACGCCAGGCAAGCACTTTACCACACAGCTGCTGCTGATCTCATCTGGGTCATTGACTTGTCTTGGTTTCCCTAGTGTGTGAAACACAGAGTCAGCAGCACCTCCACTGTGGGAATAAAGCAGTTCACATCCATTTCGAGCAGGTCCAGTTTACCCGCACCTGCTAAACATTACTATGGCACAGGTTAGACGGGACCTCTGTTTCAGGAAATACTTGAGATTCTTGGCAAAAATGATGTTTGCTTTGGGCCTAGATTCCATGGTTATTTTTAATGACAATAGCTGGCTTCACGCCACTCGCCACACTGAGAGCTTTTTATACCACAGCATTTGAGCACACCCAGGTTGCTCTTCAGATGCTAGGACCATCCTCTGCTTTCAGATGAAGATGGGAGGGCTAACACCTTGTGAAGGAGGAGGCTCTGGGACTGAGTCTCAGCATCATGGCTACCCTCCATGTGGTCATAATTCTGCGCTGACTGTCGTGGAGTCCTTGCAGTCCTTGCTGTGTTCTTGAGAAACAGTTCAGGGAAGAGGGGAGCAGGCCAGCAGGAGGCAGGGTCGGGAGAGCGCCCCAGGCTTACTTTTAGGTCTCAAGCCCAGGACAATAAGCTAACTGAGGTGTCTATTTAACTTATCAAAGCAGATGTGGCTGTCTGGTTCTCCCAACATCACTCAGTCCCTCCCTTTAGGGTAGAGGGCAGGGAACGCAAGCAACCCTAAGCTTCTCCATCACAGGGCTCAGCAAGCCCTGAGCCTGAGGCTTGGCAGTTTCAGAACCCCTGTTGGAAGTGAGCCAGCCCCATGTCCTTAGTTGCCCCTTCTGGAACACCTGCCTGGAGAGCAGAGCCTTCAGACAGGCCCTGTGAGCTGTCCCACGTGACCTGCCCCACACAATCTCCTTAGTAACCCTGGCTCTCTCTGGGCAATGCCCCGAGGCAGTCTGGGATGCCAATGAAGGATTGGCATAGACTCCAGGTCAGGCTGCCCTGGATGTCCCAGGAAACACCTGCTGCTGGAAATAAATGTGAATCTGTGGAAATCAGAGAAGAACATGGGTCAAAAGGGAGGTACTTGGTGGAAAGTATCTTTCTTGGGCTGGAGAGATGGCTCAGCGGTTAGGGGCACTGGCTGCATTTTCAGAGGACTGGGTTTAATTCCCAGCATCCACACGGAAGCTCACAAATGTCTGTAACTCGAGGCCCAGGGGACCCAGCATCCTCTTCTGCAGGCACCAGGCAGGCATGAATGGGATACACATACATATAAACAGGTGAACTATTCATACACGTAAAGCAAAATGTTTTCAAAATATTTTAAGTATTTGAGAGGGGACTGGATGTTCAGAGGAGAGCAATCTGTGAAATGTGAACCGCGGGATGGCAAACTTCATAGAATTTGTGTCTGAGTAAGATTTTGAGTACACATTTGGATCGTGGTAATGCCTATTAGTAGTTATCAACATCAAAACAATCACTGTTGGGTTGGGGATGGATGGCTTGGCTTCAAAACACAATAGAGGAGAATAAAAGTTAGTCATATGACCAGCAGGGGGCACTCCTGGCCCCGGGAGTCCACCATAGTTCATGCTTTTCTAGACTAGACCTTCAGTGTCCCATTCATGCCACATACAGGATGGTGGAGTTGCCCATGCAGATCTTTGTACCTGGTTTAGATTACAGAAGACACAGGGGTTGGGACTGTGTACTCCGTGCTTGTTTTCTGGATGTCCCCGGCGACTCCGGAGAGCCAAGGAGTCTCAGAGTTTGTCTGTATCTGAATTGTATTGCATGTTTCACAGGGATGCAGCAGAGTTGGGTGTGCAAAAATTGCATGGCTAGGTGACTTTCACTTTGGGTAGTGGAAGGTGGACCGCTACAGAGAACCGCCTGGAGGCCTCTAATCTGCTTAAGAGAGACGGCACAGGGAAAATAAACCTTGTATCCAGAACACAAACAAGACATTTCTAAAATTGATTTTGTGCAAAAATACTGTCCTGTTCCAAGTTCTTTGTCTAGGTTAGTGACTCTCAACCAGATGTGATCTTGTACCCAGGATACACTGGGCGGTTTTGAGAGACATTTTTGTCCATCACTTGTGATAACAAGTGTTACTGGCATGCAGTGACAGAGGACAGAGATGTCGCTGAATACCCTGAGACACGCAGGACAGACTCCACAGATGTCTGACCCCAAACACCCAGGCATAAAAACCTGATTTAGGCTAAAAGAAGGCACAGATTAAAAAACAAACAAACAATAAAAACCATTAAAGAGATTATAGTGGTTAGAGAGGAGCTAGAGAAAGAATAGAACTCGAGAGAACAAATAGACTTCTATTGGCTCCATACTAAGCCAGTGCCCATCAAGAGAGAGCTCAAACACAGGCATAGGCCTGCCTCTTGCATTTGGTACTTAGTGGCATTCAGTCTCTTCATCAACCTCTGGTCTCCCACCTCCTTTAGAAGCTGTTTTCTAAGTAGTGAGTGGGTCAGGACTTTTTTTCCCCAAGTATCTCTCTCCCTTGTCCATTGTACCAGCCTTAGTTTAGCTGCTTGTTCTCCCTTTGTGTACCGACCTATGCAATAGCTTAGAAAAGTAGGGCTGGCTTCAAAAGTTCCCCAGCATTTTAGGTCTACTCTTTGGAGTTGTCTCTGTTTTCAGTGCCAGGTGCTCTAGAACTGACTTCAGAGTGATGGGTGTAAATAGCACGGTGGCTCCTGGCTGCCCTGGTCCATGGCAAAAGACAGCCAGCCTGCTGGGTACCATGAACACCAGCTGTGGCCCAGCTAACTTAAGTGAAAAGACTCAAGTTTCCCCAGTCAAAGTGACGCAGCTGTGACACGCTGTTCCTGGGTTGTCTTTGACCCGATGTCCCTGCAAGGCCAGCTGCCAATAGGCCTGGACAGGAGGGTCTGTCTTGGATGGTTCCCACTGTCCTTGAGCCAGGGAGAGTAAAATGCCTGTAATCCCAGCATTTAGGAGGTGGTGGCAAAGCTTTGAGTTTGAGGCAACTCTGGGCTACATAGTAAGATACTTTCTCAGATGACCAAGAGTTTGAGATGTAGTTTCCCGGTAACATGTGTGAGGTAACATAGTTTTGCTCACTGGCCTCACAAAACACTTGTGCACAAGACATTAATAGATGCTTTCACCAGAATATAAGCAGCGGGGCAGTGGTGGTGCACGCCTTTAATCCCAGCACTCAGGAGGATCTCTGAGTTTGAGGCCAGCCTGGCCTACAGAGTTTCAGGATAGCCGGGGCTACAAGAGGAACCCTGTTCTAAAAACAAACAAACAAACAAACAAAAAACAATGTAAACAAACCAAGGTCTGTACACTGAGCCAACTGACACGGGAGCCAAATAGGACAGGACTGGGGAGAAGGAAAGACACGGACATACTTGTGAACACGTATGTTATTCACTGACACTCTGAGAAGAGGGTGGTGCATCAGTGAGGGCTTTGGGACGTGGGCTTCCTGGGCCCTGGATACTCGGTGTTGCTGTCTAATGCTCACGGGTGACTATGACGTCATTCAGGACATCCCATGTCCTTCTCTTGCAAGTGCTAGGGAAATCCTTGCATTTATCTTCAGTTGGGAGGTAAACAGATGCTATCCTATCCACAAGATCGAGCTTCTTCTACAAATCCCTTTCCATTAAAAAAAAAAAAGGCGAAAAACAAATATATCTAGAGAAGAGCTATAAAAACTGGGTAGGGAAGTCGGGCGGTGGTGGCGCACGCCTTTAATCCCAGCACTCGGGAGGCAGAGGCAGGTGGATCTCTGTGAGTTCTAGGCCAGCCTGGTCTACAAGAGCTAGTTCCAGGACAGGCTCCAAAGCTACAGAGAAACCCTGTCTCGAGAAACCAAAAAAAAAAACTGGGTAGAGGGCTGAGACATTTGTCTGTTAATGATCTAGCAGTTTCTTAGGACAAAGTCTTAACTAATATTTGGCCTACTAAGAACATGACGTTTAAATGCTCTCCTACACGGCCATCCACAGAATTATTCGAGTGGATTTTTCTCTCCCCCTCTTCTCCCCTTCTTTATTGTCTTGTCTAGCCAGTCCTTCGCTTCCATTACTCCAGGCATTCACTTTCAGCCTTGTTCAGCCAAGTGATAGAAAACATAGAAATGTTTTCTTTATCACTATAACATGGGGAGATGGCTCAGAGGTTAAGAGCACTGGCTGCTCTTCCAGAGGACCTGAGTTCAATTCCTAGCAACCACATGGTGGCTCACAGCCATCTATGATGAAATCTGGTGCCCTCTTCTGGTGTGCAGGCAGAATACATAATAAAAAAAAAAAAAAAAAAAGAGGGGGAGAGAAAAACCAGGGGCTAGGCAGTTCTAAATCCTTGGGCAGGAGAGGAACAGTTGGTGAGCTTTAACTGCACTAAAACTGAACCCCAGAGTAAGGGCAGAGCTGCCTGTAGGAGCAGGGAGGAAAACCACAAGGGCCAGGCTTCACTTTTCACCCTACCGTGCAGACTATGTTAACACACGACTAGGATCAGCCTGTTCTTGGATTGGTCAAACCCTGAAGACAATGCCACAGAGACCTATGACTGTTTGTCTGAAAGGATTTTCTAGAGCTCGGGAAAAAATGATCCAGGCAGGTGAAAAAAAATCAGGCACAAGAGAATAAATCCTTTTATTTTTGCAGCCTTGGCCATGCAGGATAAAGACTCATTCTAGGATGGAAAATCTCCTCCTTTGGGCTCTTTGAGCAAGTCATAATTCAGTTTTCAGCATGAGGAGAAAAATGGGAGGCCATCCCAAACTTTGAAAAATATTGAATAACTTAGAAAATTCTCTGGAATGAGAGCGGATAAGAGATGCACAGGAATAGATAAATGAACACCTTCCCATTTCTCCATAAAACTATTCTTCTGTGTAGAGTTGACAACTGAGGATTTAAGGATAAAAACTGATTATTCTTCAAAGATAGCTAAGTAGAAACTTATTTATACTTGAGCAAACAGAGCCAAAGAAGCCGGTGGAGGGATTTATATTGAAGCACTCAAGAAAAGTGTCTGAAGACAATGGTGACTGGGGAAAGGTTGGGACTCTGGTGTTTTAGAAACACCATGGGGCTTGTGTCTGTCTGTCTGTCCGTGATGGTTTGGGGATTACAGTCCTTTCTTGGGTGATAACAGTATGGGCCAACATAGAGAAACATCCACGTGAAGCACGCCTTCTAATAGCAAACCATTTTAGTCCTTGAAGAAAAGCCCCTGCTGAGAATTGAGCTCTTGTGTTAATGTCACTATAACCCAACACACCAGGACTCCAAAGTGGGGGAAGAAAAGAAGAGGCTCCTGCCAGCTTTTACAGTGAAAGGAGAGGACCATGGCAAGGGCTCAAAGACAGAAAGCTCTTCTCTCCTCTGTGACTGGAAACTGTTTGGGGCACGGAGGATTCAGATAGGTTCCGAGGCTGAAGAGGTTTGGCACAAACCTGTGACTAGCCACCTTGGAGCGTCCTCTAGAATTTGGGGGCAAATCGCTAGCAGATTCACGGTCTTACAGTGGTATGGCGAGGAAGTGTGAGCCCATCTATGTGGGTTCGGGAAAATGAGTTCTCCATTGCTTCTATTTTCATCTTTAAAGTGGCGCTAAGGGTATGTCGGTCCCATGGGAATCCTTCAAGCATTGGAAACTCACATGTGAACTTCAGATACGGCTGCGTGGAGCACTGAGACAGCCAACCAAGCCACACCTCAAGTTCCGTTATATGACACATGGGTAAGATGGCACCCAGAAAGGCCACACTTTTCAAAGCCGGGAGCTTGCAAAACATAACGTAAGAACTTCTGAAAGGAAGCTGGCAACAGTCTGTTGTCATCACGCAGCCATGGACCCTGTAGTCCACACAGCTCTAACATCCTACGTCATATAAAACAACCCAGCAGACTCAGTAACTGGTCCCATGCTGTGGCACAATTGGGATGTTTTTGCTTAAGACTGTGTGAGTTCAATAGAATGAAACCGTGTCATCCTTTGGGGATGTAGCAGTAGGCTATGCGGATTTCAGATCCTCTTAGACTCAGTCTTCTCCAGTATCCAAGACGAAAGAGCGGAAGCAGCAGGTTTGAGATGGTGGATACCATCGGCACACACACACCTCTTTCTGCAAGGCTGGGATGCGTTCGATTCCTGTACTGGGCTTTACCAGTGTCTCATAGTTTGAACACTGTGACAGCGAGTAAGCAACAGAGTTGAAAAGAGAAAATTTCTGTAACCTGGAAAGAGGGACAGATTAGAGTCACCGGAGGAGCTAGACTAAGGAAAAGGGCAGAAAAAAGATTGCAGAGACAAAAGATGAAGAGAGAAAAAGGAAGACAATAGAAATAGTAATGAAAGAGAGACAGAACTTTCTGATGCTGAGGAAGTATAGAAGCTCAAGAAAGATGGTAACAATAGTTACAGAAAGTGTGGTTGGGCGGGCAGGAAGCTTTGGTTGAACAGCTCTAAGCAGAAAGGGTCTCTGGGCATGGCATGGTCTAACTTTGTCTCTGTAGCTAAAGAAAGAGAGGTATGGGATGGAACCAGGAAAGAAATGGGACCCTTTGTGTCTGGGCCTTTGCTTCTAGGGGATTAGACTATGATCTGTATGGTCCTTTCCAAAGCTTATGGATGTATAAGCCATGAACATTTATATGAGATCCCATATTTGGTTATGATAATTCATTTTGGGCCATTCAACTTCCGTGAAAGCCCCTTTGCGTTAGACAATGTGGTTGCGTTTGAGTTTTGCAGGACCATAATGCCCTTTAGAGTTCTAAGCTTATACAGTAGGATTATTTTTCTAAACACTGGCCAGCTCCTGGGGGCTGTCCCCAAGCTGGTACTGACAGCTGTGTAGAGGAGGAAGGTGAGCTAGAACCAGGTCCTGGGGCGCTGCGGCGTTCCCTTAGGTGATTCTTCAGGGTGCTCGTTGTTAAACTCCAGGATGTCTGTTTCCTTAGTGTCTAAGTTTTCCATTAAGAACAGGATGTCAGGAGAGACCCCAGAGCTAGCCCTGGGACGGATTACGCTGGTCTCTGAGGATGTTCCCGTGTCAGGTAAGAGAGCTGCTCCGGGGCTCATAGGATCTGGACCTAAGTTTCCCAAGGAGGTGTGCCTGGACTCCCGTAACTCTGGAAGGCTCCACCTTTGGGGGAATCTGTCATCACCTGGATCTTCCTCAAAGGTAAACAAGTCTCTTTCAGTACTGGCTGAAACAGCCTGGGGATTGCGGTCCTCAGATGGCGTCGCCTTCCCTGAGGGGTCTTCCTGCTGCTCGGTCCTGCTAGGTTGCACCCCAGTGAACTCGAGGCTCAAGATGGAGGCAGCAGAGTCCTGATCATGGCTATCTGAGGAGGACCCCGGTGCTTCAGCCGCTGTGATCAGGACCTCAGGGACCTGGGGAATTTTGGTAGGGGAGGCCCTCACACTGGACTGCGGGGTCAGGCTTTGCAAAGTGCTGGTGCGGCTGGTCTCCCTGATGGTGGACAGTTCGCCCATGCTGGAATGCAGTTTAGGGCTGCCCTCTAGGGAGTGGGATTGCTTCCGGGTAGGAGAGGCTCGGTGGGGATTTCTCGGAGGCACGTCCAACAGATCCCGAGCTGGGCTGGGCGGGAAGAACATGGAGCTGTCGCTGGCTTGCCTGCCGAAAGTCCTCCTCCTGGGGCTGCTGGGGTGCTCGTGGGTACTCAGGAAGCGCTTGACTCTCCTCATCACCGAGCGCCGGTGGCCGTGCTTCTCATAGTTCCACAGCCAGTCCTCCTCGGGGAACTCGGACCCGGACAGCCTGGAGCGGGGAGACAAAAGTCAGAGTAGCTGCAGGACTGAATTGTGGGCGGTCTCAAAGTTAAGAGGCGACTTATGGCAACTGCTATTTTACGCACCCCAAGTGATAACCGAGGAATGTAAAAGGCAAGAATGTACGAGCATTAAGGATAAAGCGATGACATTATCATATATCTAGTAGCCTCTAGGAAATTTCCCTGAATAGAAGTCCCCTACCAGCTTATCACTGGGAGCTACATTCCAAGATCCCCAGTGGATTCAGGGATAGTACCAGACCATAGATGGTAACGCCCTTTCCACCTTAGCTAAACACGTACTAACCACGTGGCTATCTCTTTCTTTCTTTCTTTCTTTCTTTCTTTCTTTCTTTCTTTCTTTCTCTCTCTCTCTCTCTCTNTCTCTCTCTCTCTCTCTCTCTCTCTCTCTCTCTCTCTCTCTCTCTCTCTTTCGAAACAGACTCTCAAGTATTCTGGGTTTGCCTCAAACTTTCAGTATTGCCTAGGATGAATTAAACTTCTGGTCCTGGCTATGCGGCTATAACTTGCTTTTTAATTAATCTTTTAATTATGTTGCCTGTGTGAGAGTGCGGGCACACACGTGCCATGGCATGCTTGTAGAATGACCTCTGGTAGGGGAGTCATTCTCTCTGTCCACCACGTGGGTCCCGGGGCTCCAACTCAGGTCATCGGGCTTGCGTGGCCAGTGCTCTTACCAGCTGAGCCATCTTGCCCATCCAGCCATAGCTTTGGTAGCATCAAGCGTGACAGCAAAACCAGCATGGGTTATTTTTCCATTCTTAACAATATCCTGAGTCGCATTCTTGTCCATATTTTAAAAAACTTAGCATATTTTTTTTTTATTAATCGAGGCTTTCATTTTTCACTCAAGGGAACATTTTATAGCTTCTCTTAGACACAGCCAGAGACTACCAGCATCACTACTCTTGTGTGTTAAACAGATTCATAAATTAAGGTATCCCTGAGCACAAGCATTGGATGCAGCGCCTGTTGGTTGGAAGACGGTGTTGGCTCATAAATGAGGGGCAGGTAGGGCAAGCACACAGATGCACTGGACAAAGACGGATGCACAGCCCAGGTGAGAGAAAGCGTGATGGCTCAGGATATAGCACACCATTCGGAATAGCATGCGATTTAAAAAAATCTATGAACTGTTTGCTCCTGCAACCTTCTGCTTAATATTTGGACTATGTTGATTTTGTGTAACTGCAATCTGTGGAAATAAAACGGTAGAACAGAGGGGATTTCCGTACACTTAGAAAAAGGATGAAAATGAGAGAGTAACACCATAATGTTAGGATGAAAATAGTTTTATCCATACAGATTCCCTCCCAGAGTGTTGGTAATCTGCAGAGGCTTCCCAGATCACAGTTTGGAAATTACTGATCTAGGAACTTGAATGTTAGTATGTGCTGTACAAAACCTGTGTTCTTTTTTTTTTTTTAGAGTTGAAATAAAGACAGATTTCCCCAGGTCCCATCATTCCCCCCCACTCTATAAAAAAATAATATGACATAGCTAATGGTGTGGGAGGTCCTTCTGTCTATGTGCTGCTTTTATTGGTTAATGAATGAAGAAATGGCTTGGACTATAGCATGGGAGGAGGAAGGCAGAGTTAGAGAGACGCCATGGAGCCACCCGAGACAGATGCTGGGAATTTTACTCAGTAAGCCACAGCCACGTGGTGATATACAGATTAACAGAAATGGGTTAAATTAATATGTAAGAGTTAGTTAATAAGAAGCTAGAGCTAATGGGTCAAGCAATGATTTAAATAACACAATTTCTGTGTGATTATTTCGGGTCTGAGCAGCTGGGAACCAGCAAGCAGCTCCTCTTTCAAATAGCTAAACTCTAGAGACTGTCAGAACCGGTGGGACGGCTCAGTGGAATGAGGGCTTGCTGCATCAATCTGGCAACCTGAATATGACCCCGAGAATCCAAGCAAAGGTGAAAGGAGAGAACAGACCTATAAAGTTTCTTCTGACCTCCACACCTGTGCCGCTGCATATGCGTCTTGGCATGTGTGCTCACCCTCTCCCTGCCCCATAAATGCAAAAGAGAGGGGACGCAAACGACAGCGAATGCTCATTTCACTATCATGATAAAGACGTCAGTTCATGTTGCTATTGTTACCAACATTTACAGACAGGTTATAGAGGTTCGGGAGATTCACTGTGCCTGACTAGCTAGGGAGGCCAATGCTTTCTGTTACTTTCTCCTTTGGTATAAAACCAGGTATCACACAACGCGCTAGACCCCAGGACAGAACAAGAAGTAAAATGCAGACCTCAGAAGGAACTGAGACATGTCTCCTGAAAGCTCGGCATCTCTGAGACTCAGTTTGGACTTGAGAGGAGAAGTCAGCTCGCGATAGAAAGGCGATGTGGAGGTGAGGTGGGTTGGACTCTCCTTGTGATTGGGGTCCCTGGTAGGTTTGAAGGATTTGCCGTGGCTAAGGATTTACCACTGAAATGCTGACATTTAATGAGTTCACTCTTTTTTAATCTCCTTCAAGGCTAAAATAAAATGAGCCAACGAGGCAACAAGGCCCATTGGGTAGTGAGGTCTCTACTCCTTCCTCAGATTCCAGGGTTGTCCCACACCTCTGTCCACTTCAGCCTTAATGGGGGTTTGGAGAACAGCTTAAACACTTGTCCTGAAATGCCAGTTGCTCATGCTGGCCCAAGGAGCATCAGCAACCCTGCTGTGCCAGTCCAGGTCTGGTGATCATATCCATGGTGACAAGCTACCTTATGCCAGGTGCGTTTTCTGTGACATAAAGGAAAAGGCTGGTAGAATGCAGGTGGGACGTGGAAAGTGCAAAGAGAACCACCAAGAAAAAAAGCGTTTCTGTGGTTACGAATGAAAGATGGATGAGATGATCACCCAGCTCAATGTCCCGGGATGGTGCCCGATTACAGCCCCGTGCTGTTATTCTGAAGCCCAGCAGTGCCCTTGGCTACCGGATAGTCTCCTGACCCTCCCTCCAGAGCGGGTGCAGATCCTGTTACATCGCCTTGGGAGATGCAGACTCATGCTTCAGTGGCCCCAGTGACCCTGCTCTTTGGGTTTCATTAGGTCAGCTCCCAGGACCTCATTAGTCACACTTCACAGCCGTCTACTTAGCTGGGGAGGACACGGCGGAGTGGCAAGCACAGTTGCTCACTAGGGCTGCCATGCTGGAGGTGCTTGGAGACGTGAGGTCACGCTGGCACTTTCTCTTTATAGGACAGGCATATGCCCTCTACTTGGGACACTGACTATTTATTTCGGGTTGTCTCCCTTAACTACATGTAAGGTACCCACCTGGTAAGAGGGACGTGGTTTTCTAGGAAAAAAAAACAACAAAAAAAATCTGTAGTAATTATTATTTCAAAACTTTGTGATGCAAAAGGAAAAAGCAGACAAAATAAAAAACTGGGCCAGCAAGATAGCTCAGTGGATAAAGGCATTTGCTGCCTATCTGGACTGAGTTTGAACTCTGGAACATATGCGGTAGGAGAGAACAGGTATTGGTAACATATCCTCTGACCTACACACAGACACACAGAGGTGGTGGTGGCCCATGCCTTTAATCCCAGCATTTGGGAGGCAGAAGCAGACAGATCTCTGAGTTTGTGGCCAGCCTGGTCTACAAAGCAAGTTCCAGGACAGCCAGAGCTGTTACACAGAGAAACCCTATCTGGGGAGGGGAAACAAAAAACAAAACCAGAAACACACAGACATACAGACACACACACACACACGTGCGCGTGCACATACATCCTCCCAAATAAGTGTGAAAAAAGCAAAAGGCTCCAACTGTGCACTAGTGTAGTGATGGGTTGTTACCTGCAGCCCCCTAGTCAGGCTGCAGAAAGTAAGACAAGCAGGTGAGCGGACGCAGAAACCCTCAGCTAACTGACCCACCCTGGGGAGACCCGCCGAGGAGACCCCTTTGTACTTTCCTGCCTCCTAAGACTGTGGTGCGGACACACGAGGTTCATCTGCTAGACTGTATTGCTGAATTTACTGAGCCTCTCCCGTGAAGAATCTGCTGCATCATAGACCTTATTACCTACAATTTTAAAGGAGGGAGATGGCATGCATACAAATATTTACATTTGCCTGGCGGTGGTGGCGCACGCCTTTAATCCCAGCACTCAGGAGGCAGAGGCAGGCGGATCTCTGTGAGTTCGAGGCCAGCCTGGTCTACAAGAGCTAGTTCCAGGACAGGCTCCAAAACCACAGAGAAACCCTGTCTCGAAAAAACCAAAAAA